CCATAGCTCCTAAGTTACTGCTAAATTATTTAGAAAAAAAAAAAACTGTTTAATCATATGAAGTAAGATTGTTATTCAATACAGCCAACTAGTATTTTGGTTTTTGGTTGGTTGGTTTGTTTATTTAAAGGTAAACATATGATGATGGAAATAATTAAGCAGCCATGGGAGCAGTATATATTTTGTACTGCTGGATATGAAGAATGAAAATTAACAGCATTTTATTTGAATTTCAGTGACAACAGTCAATTGATCTCCATCATTAGATCTGGGAAACAAAGTAATGACACACAAAGTGATGGTAATGACATTGATTTGGTTTTGAAACATTTCAGGAATGAAAATGTTCACACTGAAGGCTGCAATGTAAGTAAATGAGTTTTACTCCAGAGAAAATGTCAATGGGTGAACTATAATAACCGTAGAGTATGAAGGCTTGGTCCATGTTAGTGCACATTATTTTAAGAAAAACATCTCATTAAGGAAACACTTGCACTGCTGGACTCTGGCTGCATCTTGCCATTTCCCATGTGTTCTTTTTTTTTTTTTCCAAAGACTCTGTTATCATGAAGCTTTTAGTCATTTTTTACTTTGCAGCTGATCTCTAAGCCAAATTTCCTAATCTACCAATCTAGAAACTAAGTGCTACATATGTATTTGGTTTAGAGAATGGGTGCAAATACTTTCTTAGCTGTTAACATTATTACTAAATGAATTCCCAAAGTGTAGTGGCTTTTGTACTAAAGTTTCCTCAAATCTACCCTAGCTAACCATTCAACTCTTGGACACTTTCTTCTCACACTTTGTGCACTGATTTGTAAACAATGATGAAAAAATTGTTGCAATGGAATCCATCAGAAATGTAGCTCCTCAAATAACAGCCCAGAGTATAGAGTCAGTAACAAACTAAAAGAATGGTTATAATGTATACCAATTGACTAGGGACTCACTTGTTCAATGTGTTTTATCTCATTCCTTTTTTTAAAAAAAAATACATTTTATTGAAATATAATTTATGTACAGTGAAATACCTGAAACTAAAGTGACATGGGTCAATGCATTTTTTTTGCAGTGTTCCCTCCCCTCCCCTCCCACCCCTGGTAACCAACAAAGAAAGTTTCCTTCCATATATAAACCTTTCCTTGACTTTTTACAATAATGAACTAATACTATATTTGTTCTTAGTTCTGTTAGAGTCTGGTTTATGTATTTGGGGCTATTTCATTGGGTGCATGGATATTTATTTTTGTTATGTCTTCTTGTTCAATCCATCCTTTAATCATTATGTAATGTCCTTCCTTGTTTCTTATGGTGGTTTTTGTCTTAAATTCAATTTTATCAGAAATTAATATTGCCACTCCTGCTCTTTTATGGTTGTCATCTCCTTGATATCTTTTTCCAACCTTTTATTTTTAGTCTATTTTTGTCTTTGTCTCTAAGGGGTGTTGCTTGTAGACAGCATATTGATGGGTTATGTTTTCTTATCCAGTCTGAAAGTCTCTATCTCTTGGGTGGTGTGTGTAATGAATTGACATTCGTGTAAATATTGGCAAGGATGAATTTGTTGCTGTCATTTTCGTAAGTGCTTTTTCATCGTGTTGCTGATTTCTTTGTTCCATATAATTTTCTCTGCAGAGCTCATTTTGTCTATGGATAGTGTTATCACTTTCTTCATTGCTGTTGTTCTAATATTTGCTAAACATTTGTGCTGGTCCTCTTTTTTATTTTGATGTGAAGGTTTAGCATTTTTTCTTTGAGGTTACCCTGTGATTCATAATTTTCTTCTCAAGTTTAAAACAGTCTGATCTATCTTGCTGTTGTCTTGACATCCCTACCATTTAGAAATTCTATAACTACACATTTTTTCCCTCTTTTCAGTTTACAGTTGTCCTCATTTGTCAATTGATGTCTCTGATTCCCTGTTTACAATCTGGTAGGCTTATTTATTTTGGATACTTCCATAACTGGGTTGGTTTCAGGGTTATGTCATCATGTGTGTTAATGGTTGATGTTTGCTCTTGTTGGTTCTCTGTCCAAAGGATGCCCTTTAGCATCTCTTGTAAGGTTGGTCTGGTTTTAACAAATTCACTTAATTTCTGCTTATCTGGAAATGTCCTAATTTCATCATAATATTTGAGGGAAAGATTTGCTGGGTCTATAATTCTTGGTTAGAAACTTTTCTCTTTCAGGGTTTTATATATACCATCCCATCATCTTCTCACCTGCATGGTTTCTGCTGAGAAATCCAAGCTTAGTCTTATTGGTTGCCCCTTGTAGGTAACTTTTCGTTTTCCTGTGCTGCTTTCAGGATTCTTTGTCTTTGGTTTTGGTGTTTGATGATGATATGTCTTGGTGATTTTCTGTTGGGTCTATCTTGTTTAGGGTTCATTGGACTTCTTGAAAGGATATATACTCATCTTTCATCATAACACGGAAATTCTCTTCCAACAAATCTTTGACAATTTTCTCTGTGGTTTTATTTGTCTCTTCCTGTTCTGGAATTCCGATTGCATGTAGGTTTTCCTTCTCATGGTATCCCACATGAACCTTAGGCTTTCTTCATTTTGTTTTGATCTTTTTTTCTGATTGATCCCTTCCCAAAGCAGTACTGAGATATTTGTCTTCAGTCACACTAATTCTGTCTTCCATTGATTCAATTCTACTCCTTTGCCTGTTCAATGTGTTATCTATTTCTGAGTATTTAGTGCTAATCTTCTGGATTTCTATCTGTAGATTTTGTATCATTTCTAATTTTTCATTTATTTTGTCATTTTGTTCTTATATTGTCTTTCAAAAATGTTCTAAGGTTTTCTCTGTTTTTCTCAATTTTGTCAGTGTTTTCCCTGATCTGTCTCTCAATCTGTTGAAGATACCTAAATATAATTTTTTTGAATTCCTTATCAGGGAGTTCCAATGCTGCTTCTTACTCAGGTATGTGTTCTAGGTCTGTTTTCTGGTCCCTTGTTCCTCTTGCTTTATCTTCTTCTTTGTGTGGACTGTGATGCTCTCTTGTCTCTGGGACATTGTGACTTTTTGTGTTTATATTTAATTGGTGATTTTATGTTGGAGTGACTTGCCCAAGATTTTCATTTTCTTTGTTTTGTTTGGATGTTATCTACATAAGCAGGGTACTGTGCTCCTCTGTTTGCTAGTTGGCAGCACTTATGCACTCACCACCTGTCTCCTTTCCCATTTGTCAGGCTCTCATATGTCCCTGATGTCCTTGGAAAATGGAGCCTATTCTTAGGTCCCTAGAATCTGAATGAGAATGCTGTCACTTTAAATGTCCAAAATGGCTGCACCCTCTGTCACTTTAAATATCCAAAATGACCACCACTTGTAAACATTCAAAACGGCTGTGCCCTTGGTCACTTTAATTATCCAAAATGGCCACCACTTACAAACAACCAAAATGGCCCTGCCCTCCAGACAGCCAAAACTCCACAGCTCAGGTCGTTTCCCTCCTTGCTGTTTTCCTTCCTAGTCATTGGCCACCAGTGCAGTCACCCCTGCAGGCTTTGGTGGCCAGGGCTGATCTTTAGGTCAATTCTCAGGTCCCAACAGCACTTGGAAATATTCAGGCTGTTGGTGCCGTCAGGGTAGCTGACAGTCCGCAGCTCTGTCCATCTCCATACTCACTGTTTTCATTCAGGTTTTTCCGCTAGTTGGTGCCTAATCCACTTCTGTACACTTCCTTTCAAAGCTCAGTGCTCTAAGATTATCTTCTGTATCTCTGTCAACTGGTTTCTCTTCTCTTTGTTGAAGAGGATCTGTGTAGCTTGTCTGCCTATTTCGCCATCTTATTGGAAATCCTTTATTATTCTTTTTCTCTCATTCATTTTTGAGTTCAAATTTTGCCCTCATGGGCCCTTCTGTTATCTCTCTCTAAACAAGCAGCAATCTCTTCCCAAAGCACTTAATGATGGCTCTATTCATTTCACAAAAATATATTACTTTATTTTGCTAGTTACCTTTTTGTATGTTTTCTTGTATCCCAACTATTTTGTGAACTTTCTGAGGGTAGGGACTTGGATATATAAACTGAGCCAAGTAACCTTGAAGTTTTCCTTTGATAATGATCAACTGCATATCTAATAAATCACTGAGCCCTGTATATCCTTTTGTTGTTGCAATGCTTCTTGCATCATTCCATCTCGAAGGTCATTCTCTCAGTTCTAACTAGTCTAGATTCCTGAAGTGAACTCCCAGAGTCATCCTCCCTCAGGCCATCTTATTATATGTCCCTACAAAGGCAAATTACCTAAATTAACACTTTTTATGTCTCTCGAGTCTGGTACTTACTGATAGGTTTTCTGCTATATACCTTTCCGAACTCTGCTGATGCCAAACTTATTTGCTGTCCCTCACCTCATTTTAACACACTTCTGACCTATATCTTTGCATCATGACTCTGCTTTTTTCTCTCAACCCCATTCTACAATCAAATCTGCCCTATCCTTCAAGACATGATTCAAACCTCTCCCCCAAATCTCTAATTGCACTTAAGGAAGATATAGTTTATATTATAATTAAGCTTTGAATTTTTATCTTGTATATTATGTTTCTTTTCATGTGCGTATGTCTCATCTCCCTGGAAAGACTGTAAGCTCACTCAGGATAGGAAATTGTTTATATATTCTAGTATCTGCCATAGTCTCTATACAGCGGGCTGATGACAGCAATTCAATGATTCAATGATTTGCGGATTTAGATTCTTTCTCAGAGCTCTTTTTTTTAATGTCTTTTATCTTTTATTAAATATCACCTCCCACTTCTAGTGTTCTCTTCTGTACTGATTCTTTCTCTTCTTTCACTTCCTCATGTAAACACCTCTCAGAAATCTTTTGAGTGGTAATTCTAAGGAGTTTTACTCAATATGAACTATAAAGAAGACTGGTCATTTTTAGTTTTGTATGAGGTTTCATTTACTAATACTCTCTTTAGTCATAAGCCTCATTCACTATTGCTCTCCAGTTTGATAAAAAGCATTTTTATCTGTCTCAGTTTGGAGGCATATGTATGGTACTGCAGCTAAAATGCTTTATTGGAAATTTTTCTCTTCCTTGAAAACAATGTATAGGTCACTCTGATATACATTAATGTGGCTGTTTTTTTCCTAGTCTAAATATCCAGTCTTACCTAAGGTGGTTTTGTTTCTGCTGACAAGCCAACAGTGGTAACCAAAGAGAATCACAAGGCTGACAAAAAACATGCAGGCCACAAAGAGAAGAAAAAGGACATGGAACTTGGAGCGAACACTGGGCAATTCCCCCTAGAAAAGAAATAAAAAACAAACAAACAAACAAAACCAAAAGATTAAAGTGGCAAAGCTCAGCTAGTTTTTCTATATAGCCCTATTTTCATATGTATAAAATGTTAAGCCATCATTTAAAAGACAGATTTCATAACAAATTTTAAAAATAATTCCTTTTGTTGATAATCTGAATATCTCATCATGGATGTGCTCTCAGCCTACAAAACCTAAAATGGATCCTGTTTGAATGCAGTTCAGTGTCAAATAATGTAACATGTATCAATTAGAAAAGGGCAATATGAGAAGGGTATACTTAGACAATAATTGGTGTACAACCTCTTTAAGGCCTGTATTCCATTTAATTTAATAATTATGAATTATTTGCTAGAAATGATCTTGGAGCAGTATAGTTCATCTTCTTGTCTAAAGATGGATTAGTCTAGAATTCTTAATTTGTCATGTTTCTTTGGACATATGTGTGTTAAAAATGTAACACTGGTGTATGGAGGAAGTTAAAGCACATAGGTAGAATTTTAAAATGTCTTACCTATAAGTCATGCCCTGATTTTAAAGCTGCTGGAAATTTTGTGCAGCTGAAGTGGAATGTGTTGGTATATGACATCCTGTGAAACAGTTTAGATAGTGAAAATCAAGTGGGATTTTGTAGGCAATTTAAAAAGTATGTGGCTAAACATTTCAGTAAGAAGCTGAGGCACCTTTTTCCCATGTGGCATCTCCTTTTTTTTTAAAAAAATATATAGTCTCAAACCAGAATGAGTGTTCTAAAGTTCTAAAGCATGCACAACATGTAACATTTTGTTTTCTGAAAAGACTCTTAGAAAACATTTTTAATTGTGGAGTGAGAGGTTGGGAAAATGACTATTACTTATTTTCTCCTAATTTTGGTCATTGTTTTGGTCTGATGAATCTCTTTGAAATATTTCCAAATACTCTCTAGTAGTACAGTTAAAACTGATTTTCGAATAAGGTAGACCTCAACATTCAGAACTGGTTCTACTGTTGTTTGGAAGAAGAAACTTAAGGCTTAGCTAGATGTGGCAAGATCAGATAATACAGATTTTTTTTTTTCTTCTCTTAGAGGAGATTTTTATTCATTTTGATGTCAGGAAATATTGGGAATCATGAAAGATGGATATGTTTGAAAGATGAAGATAAGGGGGTGTAAGCCAGTCTGATGCTTTCAGCTCATGGGTTATCTCAGTGAAATTTGCCTAGGGGAAGAGCAGCTGAGCAAATAGCTTCTGAAAAGAGTTCACCCTTCAGGAGCCTTTATCTGAAATTAGGAACACAGCTAATTTCCCTGATACATGGCTTTAAAAATACATGTGCTGTTTATTTCTCATTTTAAAGGCTATTGTTATTTGCCATCGAGTCGGACCCAACTCATAGCGACCCCTCCTTGGGTTTCCAAGGCAGTATCACTATGGAAGTAGATTGCCCAACCTTCCTTTCGAGGAGTGACTGGTGGTTTTGAACTGCCAGCCTTCTGGTTAGCAGTCAAGTGCCTTAGGCACTACACTACCAGAGCTCCTCATTTTAAGGGGAGTTAATAGTAATTTTACCCATATCTATCTTCTGGTATTCAGTGTCAGTTTGGACAACCATCATGGCAAGCTTATGATGTCTTAGTAATTGCACTGGACTTGTGAGAAACGTATATCTTTTGAAGTTCATTGGCTGCTGCCAGATATGTGTGTGTGTGTGTGTGTGTGTGTATTTCTATTATACTGCTGTCAGACACTGGATACACATATGAACAGGAAAATTGTCTTCATTTGTTTTAGGAATGGATGGGAGATGACAAAAGTCAAGTGGAAGAAAGAGGAAAGTAGGATTTTTTTTTCCCCTTAGGTTTCATGATAACTATTGGAATCACATTTTGAAAGGTTACGCACTTTCAACATTTATCTTATTTGATCTTAGCAATGAGCCTGTGAAGCAGGTAACAGGACCAGCATTAAAATTTAATGCTCCAAATTCCCCAACTAGTGTTCTTTTCACACAAAATTCAAATGAGACTCACATTTCATTTTGGTCATGTGTAAAGATGAGTCAATGCATCTTTCTGCTCTGTAGGAATTCTGCCACTCTCCTTTGAACAGGGAATTAGAAAATATTTTCTAACAATGGAGGAGTGGTTTTTTACTCTTATTTTCTGGGAAACTAGGTATTTAGAAATAGTTTCAATATTTGTCAAATATATAATTATTTAATTGGAATCTTTAAATAACATCTTCCCCATAAATGTCAAAGTATTACATGGAAAACTTGCTTTTGGTAGCTTCCCTGCTGGCTACTTTGGTATTAGTTATTCCAAAACATAAAAAAGATAAGTGAATTATTTCATAGATTGGAGTGTGTGTGTGTGTGTGTGTGTGTTGGGGGTGCTTCATGAGCTTTGAACTTACTCTCCAGTATTTGATGAAATAGCTGAAGACTGTTGTAGCAATGTACAGGCAATAGATAACAGAGTAAGCTAAGAACTGAAGGAAGAATTTGTAGTTGGAAAATCCAATGCAGTTATTAACCCTAAAAAAAAAAAGAAGAAGAAGAGGAAGAAGAAGAAAGAAAAACTAATTTGAAATCAGGAAAATTAACTGAGAACACACCGACATATAAGTGTACTACACACAATGGAAACATGTCACTCCTACTGCTTCATTAGTGTTTTTTGTAGAAACTCAACAGAGATTGAAGTCTCTTAAAAGGAACAGACTAGAAAAACAAGTACACTTCTCATTTGTTTCTCCTTCTATTTATAGGCACAGAGATACCTGGCCTACCTAACAGTTCTGAAATGATTTCTGATACACACAAACAAATCTGGATCCTGAATACTGAACCATATTACAGTCTTAGAAGCTGCACTTAAAATAGTTTGCCACATTCTCTTTGTGGTTAGATGATTTGAGACTGATTATCTAGGTCTGTTGTAGAAAATTTGGAGAATTACTGAATTTAACAGTCCCATTGCAGAGTGGATTCAAACATCAAGCCAGGAAAAAAAAAAAACCTGAATTCTGTAATATCAGAGGAGAAGGAGTTATGCTGTATTTCATTACTGTGCCCAGTTGCTAAAGCTAATGGATAGAAGACTATTAGATTTGTAAACCCAGAAATGCACTACCATACCTTTCATGCTATATTTATTTTTACTGTAAAATATTTCTCCTTCCCTGTTCCCCACACAAATACAAATCCCAGTGAACTATAGTTGCAGAAACAGGCATGTTACAATTATGCTCAGGAAAGCAGGCACACTGGGCAACTTTGACCCTTTGAAAAGAGAGAAATGAATAAATGGGACATACCATGGGCAGTGATGGTCCATTTTTAATACACACCTACAAAAGGGACAGAATACAGTGTGATTAATGAGGCTATGGAAATGAAGCGACACTGAAGGTCTCACCAGTACTTTTTACATAATTCCAATACATTCATCCCCAGGTTCCCACTAGCTATTCCAAAACTATATGTCTTCAATTGTTCCTAGGATGAGGCAATCACAACAACACTTTATAAGGTCATACTGGCAGCAAGTTACACATCTATAAAAGTCCAACCATTTAAAAAGAATTAAGAAGTTACAGAGAAAAGGTACATGGTGTCTCTTCTAGTGTTGTTTTCAATACTCAGTTTAATAAAAGCACAGAAGAAACTATATGGTTATAACCTATGTTTGAATCAAGAGTGAGGTAATAATGAGTGGAACAAATACCCAAGAAAAAAGGCATGAAGATTATATTTACTAACATATAAATGGGGTTTTACAAAGCTACAATAATTTGAACAACAAATTAATACAATAGTATTGAGTTATAACCAAAAGTATAAAATAAATATCCATGAGTTCATACATATACAAATAAATTACTGAATAAATAAATGATGAAAAGAGATAAATCTACCATGCAGAAGAATTCCAAATAATTTAGGTAGATACACCACCCTCATGGAGGTGGAGCATAATTCCATACCTTTAGTGTGAGCTGCACACTGTGATTTCCTTCCAAAGAGTGCAGTATAAGAAGGGGGGAAGGGACAATAACTTTCTAGTGGGGGAAACCTGAAAAACTCTTTTTTTTAGCCAGACTATCAAGATTAATATTAAAAGTGACAAATCATGTTACTATAAAGTACCCTTAATATGATGGGATAAGAATGGCACTTTAACTCTGTGGTCCTCCTCTCTAAAACACAACCCCATCCCCCACTGCCACTGAGTTGATTCCAACTCATAGGGACCCTAAAGGACAGAGTAGAATTGCCCTATGGGGTTTCCAAGGCTGTAAATCTTTACAGAAGCAGACTGCCTCATCTTTCTCCTGCAAAGCTGTTGGTAGGTTCAAACCACTGACCTTTTGGTTAGCAGCCAAATTCTTTAACCACTACACCACCAGAGCTCCTCTAAAACCCATCACCCCAGTCTAATTATGAGAAAAACATCGACAAACACAAATAGAAGGATGTTATACAAAATACCTGACTAATATTGCTCCAAACTGTCAAGGTCATCAAAAACAAGTTACAGTAAAGAAGGAGCGTAAGGAAATGTGACTACTAAATGTAATGTAGTATACTAGCTGGAATCCTGAGACAGGAAAAGGACATTGGGGAAAAATAGAAAAGCTAAATAAAGTAGACTTCAGTTTAAAAAATAGATCAATATTGGTTACTTCTGTAGTGATACTGCCTCAGAAACCCAAGGAGGGGTCGCTATGAGTCAGGGCTGACTCTACGGCACATAACAACAACAACAACATTGGTTTCTTAATTGCAACAAATGTACCATACTAATGTAAAATGTTAATAATAAAGGGAATGACTGTGGGGTATATGGGAACTCTCTATACCATCTTTGCAATAATTCTGTAAATGTAAAAATGTTTTAAAATAGTTTATTTTAAAAATGGGGTTTTATTTCTCTTTCCCATCTTTATAATAGTTTGAATCATCTTATTTCCATAACAGTGTTTGGCATGTCTTGATCATGATTGAAAGTAAATGTTCTTAATCCAAGCATGGTTACATGTTAGGATCAACTCAGGAGAAATATAGCTGTCACTTACATGGCACAGACAGAGCAGTGGTGGCAGCGATCTGGTTTGATTAGATGGCATCGGTCACAGAATCGTACAGCTATCAGAAAAATAATATGGTTAGCACTGGTAAGACTCGATATGAGACGACAGACCACACTAGCCTAGCTGGCTGGCTTCTTATACACTGATTAAGGGTAGTCAACTCATATTATTTCAAGTTATCAAGCAAAAAGGAAGATCACACAAATAAATTGTGCTATTTTTTTCCCCCTGTTGGATAAATCTTGAAAGCACCTTCTGAGGGACACAGGAGGCAGGAAAAGCTTTCATGTATGGATACATGATCATAAGATTTTGTATTATTAAAAAAACTAAAATTATACTAACAATGGCTTGAGTGATCTTGGGCAAACCCACTTAGCCTCTGTTTACCTCAACTTTCCTACCTGAAAACAAGCATTCATAATTTATCCCTTGACTGTAGAGATTGGATTGAATCAGGTGTATAAAACTCCAAAAATATGGTAAAGAAAATGGTTCTCAAAATAACAGTTTGGAGAATAAAACAGACATTCTAGGGAAATCAGCTCAATCAACAATTTCACAGATAAGGTAAAGACCTGGGCCATGTCAAGTGACTTGCCCAAAGTCACACAGCATGTGGGTGATAGGGCTGGGATTATTACAGAGTTTCTCTGACTTCTTAGTTAAGGGTTTCTATCACCCTGTAAATCTGATAGTATATATAATTTCACAACAATTGTATGCCAAAAAATTAGATAACTTAGATGAAACCCAATTTCGAAAACATATTGTTGTTGTTGTTAAGTGCCATCGAGTCATTTCCAACTCATAGCGACCCTATGCACAGCAGAAGGAAACACTGCCCGATCCCGTGCCAGCCCCACAATCCCTGCTATACTTGAGCCCATCATCACATCCACCGTGTCAATCTATCTCGTTGAAGGCCT